TATATATATATATATGTATCTTTAGCACTCACACTCGACAAAGCAGGCGAGGCCATATATATATATATACATATATAATACCGGTGTAACATCTACCCGTTGGCGTCGGTTTTGTATGCTTAGGCTCCGCTGCCCGCCTGTGGGCATATCTGCTAAAAGCAGCAGTCCTCATCAACAGCTACCCTCGCACTGCGGGGATGGGCCGTGGCCTTGTGACAAGGAGTAACGCAGTCCTCACCGTCTTCATCAGCCCCCTCATGTTCTCTCGTACGTTGAAAGGAGCAAGACGAGAAAACTGCCGGTTTTGTTTGAGTCTGTCCAATTCTCATTAAGGTCCCCGGAAGCTCCACACTTTTCTGTGTGGCTCAGTCTGGTCTCAACCCGCTGCCCATGTGATTGGTCCTTGGACCGAGGCATGACTGTACCGGGTGAAACTAAATCTGCGCCTGTACAGCTTTGCAGATTTTTTTGTACATCTGCTGCGAATTGGAGATCGAGGTTGTGCACATGTGTACTGCGGAGGTGGCGGAACACAACTTAAGTTGTCGTTGAAGTAATTCATCAACCGGGTGCGACATCTCAAGGCCTCACCCCCGATGCCCCGAGCTCCAGTTCCAATTTTCTTCAGATGCGCTGTGCCCATTTACCATTTAAAACTGACAGCCGGTATGCTGAGTGGTCGGGATGCGGCTTTGCGGTCATGGATTCATGCTGCATAGACCCGAATGGATGCAATGGTGCAATGGCCTCCTTCAGGACTCAGGTAGCCTCAGGTGAGCATCAGGGTCCAGTGTACTCACACGGAAAGTGCTGGAAAGCTAAAACGCGACAATCATGAGCCCAACATGGAATGCACCGTCTCAATCTCTACACCTCTGAACCGAAGTAGGGATGAGGGATGTCATGAACCAGGTGCCACTACCGTGATCATGCAAATGTAGTAGCAGTATGGCAGGAAGGCAGAAACATACTCGCATGTTTTGCAACGGTAGGGAGCTCGCAACACTTGTTGGGATGTCGAGTCAAGCAGTCGGTGTTGGATCAGGCGCAGGCACAGAGAGATTAACATGCGGAAAGTGTGTCCTTGAGTTGGGGGAAGCCAGTGTCTTCACCGAGGTGATGCAATGTGAACTGAGAGCACTAGTATGGGGGCATCTGGCGCGCCACAGTAGGAGTCGATTGATTGAACTTCAGTGACCGTACAGAAGCGTTCGCTGAACGAGCGATCTCGAGAATGCTTCTGTGCAAGGCCTAGGACTCGGCTGATCTGTGGCCTTCCTTGATCGGGAAGGATTCTCCGCACTTGAGCCACAGTAACTCAGTGGTGTTGGGATTCAGTCTTTTTGACAGCCACTACCCCCACCAAAAACCCTGCGGAAGATTCTCACCTCTGTACCCCCCGTCTGCGCCTATCGACTTGACACAGGATCGAGGCGTTGAAGCCCTCATTAAGGCCGCGGCGGATGAACCGAAAGGGCTGCTCAGCCTGGACCTTGCACCATCGAACAAGACTGCCAGGCCCCGTCTTCGCAACGAGTTGTTGCAAAGTTTCCTATTTTCAATTTCTCGAACTGCAGGAGAAAAGTTGTTGCTGTGGCTAAGTTTGCTAAATGCGAGCAAGCATCCTCGACCTTGTTGACGAGCGGGTTGTCCAATGGCTCGGAGATGATCGTGTGGAGCAGCTCCCAGGGTCCCGAGAGGCAGTTTGCCTTGAGAAGGACAAGTGTGACTGGTCTCATTTCTGTTCCGTATGGACTGGCAGAATTGACAGAGCCCCGTGTTGTTGCGAGGTCCTCTGCACTTGATTCACCGGCAAACTTGACGAGGGGGAGTGTTCCCACTTGCACAGACTAGTCCGTGCCTGTGGAAAAACCAAAGGCGTCTTCCAGAAAAAGAATGGACGTCTCCAACCGCACTTTGCAGACTTGACACGGAATCATTCAGACTGATTGGCCGCACGAGGCTGCCTAGATGGGCATTCGTTCTGGGGCCGCCTCCTGTCAAATTGCTGCTTGGGGTTTGTGAGGTTCCCTGTGCCAGGATCATCCAACACGTCCTGTTTCCAAGCAGCTGAAGAATTTCCCAGCCCGAGGGAGGTGGTCGCTCGACACCGGTTGGGTCTACTTCCTGACGTCCCGTCCCTGCTAGAAGGACGAATTGAGTGCTGACAGGGTGCTGCCTCGAACTTGCCGCCAATCATGCTGTGCGTGAAACCTCGCAGTGGTCTCACCGCTTTACGCACTAGATTCAGTTCCTGACGGAAAAGGTCCCGATACTTCCTGTGTTTAAGGACATATCAAGCTCCACCTAGCATGCAACATGCCCCGTAAACTGCTGTCCTTTGAGACAACCCGGGGCTGCAGACCATGACATCAAGCCTATCGAACTCGATTCAAGTGTGTCATTGCAACGCATTGCAGCAAGATGCAGCAAGCGCAGAACCCCGTTCTCCAGCAAGATACTGGCAGGGCATGGCAGGGCCCTTGTCTGTCAGACAAAGCGCCTCTCCGCGCCACGAAGTGGATCGACCCAATCGTATGGCTGCGCTGTAGGTCTCCAGCAGTGAAGCTCCTTTCGCAGTTGCGGGATTGCTCCGCTCGTGTAGCCCTGTGTGCACCATCACGGTCCCACCGCTCTCAAGTATGCATCGGCCTTTCGGTGTCGAGTAGCACCGTTTCTATTGCTTTATCAGGATGGGCATGTCCGAACAAGCGTAAGGATGAGGCAGCATCTAATGAGAACGATGTTGCGAAGACAGTAACACTCCACGTCTAGACCGTACGTGCACTTCAGCAAGCTGCGCGCATTTCACCGCAAACTAACGAGTGACAGACGAAGTCACCTGTGAACGCACGCCACTTTGGTCTAACACACATGCTTAGGGATTGGGTTCGCTTAATATCCAACTGCTACTCCGCTTGAAGTTGTGGTCGTTGGGTATAACAGATATCTACATGATCACGTAGATGCAAGGATGTGTGCGTCTATCTATGTATCTATCTGTCTATCTACCTCTCTATCTATAGATAATGTATTTGTATATAACTGCATATACTTCTATACACATAGTACGACACAAATATGCATGGCACACAGGCGTGCAAAAACGCAGACACCACACTCCAACGCGCTCCCGGAGGCTGCTGAGGCGTCGTAGAAGGTCTCAGGGTCACCTTCTGCAGCTTCAGGGTTTCGGGCCTATAGGGGCCGTCTCTCCCACTGTACTGTGTCGACCAGGGCAAATCCCACTCCCAGACTGCGCCAGATGCAGGATCTAGACCAACCTAAACATGCGAAATAACAACTGGGCTGGTAAGGACAAGCAACAACAAGTAAAGCAAATGTAAACCAGGACAACTACAGCTGCGAAATTGTGACACGAAGCACATTCAAAAGGAACTCGAACAAGTGCGAACGGAGCCGCTTAATCAAGGAATGTCGCTCAGGATTTTGGCCCAAACAAAGCCCAACACCAATGTACTTGACTTTACAGAAATCAAGCAGCTGTAAGCGAAAGAGGAACCACTTGCCAATACACTCAAGACACGCAAGATCCGGAAGAACAGGTTGAGCTGTGACGGCGACCGAGACACGTGACAACAAATAGCACATCGGCGCGGGCCTGCACTTACACCTTGCTAATGTCAAGGCAGCCACTCGTGCCACAAGCTCAGTTGCTCAGTAGCTTCAATAACGCCAGCGGTAGACTAATGCGAGCAGCGGCCTTGAGAGAGGCCTTGAGAGAGACCTTGAGAGAGGCCTTGAGAGATGCCTTGAAAGAGGCCTTCAGAAAGGCCTTGAGACAGGTCTGTAGAGAAGAAGCCAGCGAGTCAACGGCCAGCGAGACAACGCTAGTAGTCCTCTTGTCCGTCCAGCAACGCGGCCGCTACTACTGCTGCCAGTGCGGCTGCGACGAGGAGCACGACGACGAGGAGGACAACGACGACACCTACTGCCTATCCTGCTGCTGCTGATCGACCTGTCTCGGCCAACCGAGAACACTACTGTACTTCACAAAACCAACTCATAAACTCTTATCAGAACTGCCGCTGATTGAAAGGAAACCAAGGCACCATCCCAAGCATTCGCCGCTTCGCTGCCAGGCGCGAAAGCACCGCCGCCATCCTCGCGGGCTTTGGACCTACCCTGGACCTACCCCAATACTCCAAGGAACGGAAGGTCTCGAACTTCATAGAACCTGTTCTTTTTCTTCTGAGGGTTTGAAGGTCGGGATGTTCGGAAAGATTTGCCTTCGGCAGCTACAGCGACTATTGCCACCACAGCAGCTGCTACCACGACTGTCTACCGCCACCACAGCTGCTGCTGCTAGTGCTCCTACTGCTGCGACAACTTCTGCTACTGCTACTGCCAACACCAACACCAACGCTAACACAAATGACGATGTTTATGGTTTTAGTGAGTGTAGCAAAAATCATAACCATAAATTGCATAAAGTAGCACTATCAGCACCAATGCCAATGCCACTACCACGACTATCACTACTACAATCTTCGTACGACAACTACTACTACGTACGACTACCGACGGCGACGACTACTGCTCCTCCTCCTCCTGCCGCTGCTGCCACCACCACCACCACCACCACGACTATTATTGTTACCACTGCTACTGCTACTTCTACTACTGCTACAACAACAACTACAGCAACTACTACCACTAGTTGCTACCACTACTACTACCACCACCACCACCACCGCCACCACTACCACACTGACGACGACCTGCACCGTCTGAACGAGCTGCTTGATCGACGGCTCAACTCCAGAGACAGTCTGCAGTTATGTGGGCTTCAGGGTTTAAAGATCTGGTGTACTGTGGCTTGGTTGTCCTGTGTCATGTTCATGATTGCACAATGCAGAACGCATCCGAAGCAATCCAAAATCCAAGCACTTGAGCTTTAATTTCCACTCTCGGGCCACTTGTCTTAGCAAGTCCGGAGTCTTTGACCTCAAGCTGGTGAGAAGCTCACTTCTTCACCGGTTTGGCCTCTCGGTTGCCCGAGGTGAGCACAGCAAAAAAACAGGCGGAGTTCGCGGGGGTGCCGAAAACCTTGCACAAGCCGCTGCACAGCGATCCTCCGAGGCGAAGGTGGCTGGAAGTTCGACCTGCGCCCAGGGTAAGCTGTTGCCGGCAACAACAGCCGATTAGCCCCTGAAGTCCAAAGTCCAATAAATGGTCCAAGCCAATCAAGCTACTCGTCTTGCAGAGTTTCAGCCCATGGCCGCGCAGTGTTTGGTGGATGAGTAATGCTTGCAATCCTTTCAGGCACCATCAGGCCGCTGAAGTCGAGTATCAGTCTTCAGGAATTGGAGCAGGACAGCTCCGGAACCGTGCGACGTTCAAATCGGGTAGTACCTCAAAATTTCATTGAGCTCATACATCCGGTGGAAAACAGCTTGGGAAAATTTGGACACGGACCTTTTAGTAAGCATCGAACTCAACCGTAATCGTTTCCGAACTTCGCCACCCGCACGACGTCCTAAGTAAGACCCTGCCTTGTCTTGCGATGCTGCGCCATGGCTGCGTCCTCCAGGTTGCCGAAGAAAACGGGGGGTGTGCTACAATCAGCTTTCTTATCGACTTGACTGCAATTTTCGCAGCCATTGTGTTGTTAGCACCGTTCATTGCTACTGCACCTGCCCTACGATTGTTCCTCAGATATTGCGCCTGTCGCATCCGAATGCTTTATAATATTTGGACCGCAAGAGTCACGGAATCAAGCGAGGAGACGAGGAGTGGGCCTCAACTTGTGCAAGGGCCGAAACTCAAAGCATCCACGCGGCCCCGACGTCCTTGCGCACACATGGCCAGAGGCAAGCCAACAGCGAGGCCGGCCACGGCCCCCACAGACGCCACCTGCTTCATGATCTGTCGAGAGTCTCGGTAAAGCTATCTTCAGCATGCAACACGGGGACACCTCCCGCACCGATCAACTGCTCTTTTAGGGACCTGCTGCGGCTGCTGTTGTGATTCTCATTTTTCCGCAGCGAAGCTAGCGTGGCATGTTACGCTCGTGGTAGCAGTGGCTGCAACAATCTGCTGTTGGCAAGCCCATCTCCCCGGCCAAGCCACCACAGCAAAGCCCGCACCGATTGAAAGAGCAGCAGCACCACCGGTGACGGCGTACCTTGGGGGGAAGCTCACGAACACACTGAAACTCGACTGTCTGTCGCAGCAAAAGGGGCTTAATGCGATGTTTCCTGCAGCAGATAGGATCAGATAGGAAGGTGGAGAGTTCGTTCTGCACCCTTCCTTGCTTGGTGGCTTCCATTATGCTGGCAGTCACGCGTTTTGGAGTTTGCGCTTCCAAGCAATAGCCGACACGTGCGCAGAGGGGTGACCCATGCGACTCGAGACACGGAAGACCTGTAGAGAGTCATGGGTGTTGTAATGATAATTACAGGCTCGGAGGGCAGCATCAGCTAAGTGACCTCCCAAGTCCTCCCTAAAGTGATACGGCCACCCGTGCACAAAAGCCAAGATCCTTGTGCTAACTTCTTCAATCCGATGCTGTTCACTCCCACGCTCATGCACGTGGCTGCAACAGCGGTCCAAGGAATTGTGTATAGGAAGCTGGCATAAGGATCCTAGCAAAGTAAACCTACTTGCTCTATGGAATACAAAGCTAGCTTCGGTATTATCAGGCGCTCCATCATTTCATGGCTTGTCGTACTAGTCTTACTCAGAGAAGATTTCGCCTTGCTGTGTGTCATGCCGGCTGCCAGGAAGCAACCCGATGATTTGATTTGAGAGACGGTCGCTGGGTTGATAGGAACTCTTTGGCCCAACAGGCTGCTGGTCCTGAACACTAGGTGGGCCAGCGCTTAGCACGAGCGCCATTGCGTCTGTCTTGCTGAACTTGAAGTTGCGATTCAGTGCATCAGGGGCTCAAACCCACCGTGGCATGAACCACAAGCGAGTGCAGTCACCAACAGTCTGAGCTTGACAAGCAAAGGCACACGATGCCATTAGTCGTGGCAGCCAGCGTGCCCACCTGGCTGATGCATGATTCGATATGGTGAAGTGAACCAGACGGGAAGTGCAATACAAATGAACATGCCATAACATGCCAGAGACAGAATTTTCGTTTCTTGTATGACATGCATGGAGGTCAAGCATCTAGCACGCGAATTTGCCCCTACAGGCTCGAAAGACCATGGTCAGGGCGTGCCTTACAGGAGATGATTCATAGCGAGCTCGCAGTGCAGAACAAACGAAACCCGAACCGAGCAAAAAGCCCACGCAGCAAATTATATGTTAACAGTGCAAACACCGACCTGCGCCAGAGCAGCAACACCAGCACCGGTGGCGGCTGCTGCACCGCCCACCAGTACCTGTTCCAAAACCGGTCGGCACTCGCGCTCCTGTTGAGGAGTGCTACGGACCTCCGGCCTCCGGCCTCACGTGTCGATGTATAAACAAGAATGGATGCTGCCTGTGTCTTCCACATCGGGCTCCACTTAGTCGCTCGGGTTCACCGGTTCACCGCGGAGCTCCGTTTTGGAGAACTCTCGCGGCTTCTCTTCCAGGTCTAGTGGTGACCTGCAAGCATGCACTACTCCGCGCCTCGCCGGGCAATTGCATCGAGGCCTGGTGCATGTAAACTTTCACATCGAGACCAGGGAGTCAGCCAGTGAGTCTTTACACGGAGCATTGATACTGCACATAATATGAGCAACCATAGCACACCACCTGAAGTCAGAAGTGAGCTTTTTGGAAAAAAGTGCTAAGGATTCTGTTCCGTTAAATGCATGCCACGTACCCAAAGCACCCGGGAGTAGCAATTACAGGTCCTACATAGAACATGCTTTAGAAGGGCCTGCCATGAAGCTCTATTCTGGCCCGCTGCAGCCAAACCCTTAGGGGCCCGAGTGGCCCTGAGTCCTAACTTCGTCTGCCTGGCTTGGAAGATTGCAGGTCATGCCCTCGAACTGGATGTTGCTACCTTGGCTTGGGCTGGCGTTCAAAACATGAGATCGAGTTTCTCGAGCAATCGGCAGCTAAGGCAACCGGGGGATGAAGTGACTACTAAGTGACTGCTGCCATGCCTGCCTGGCGACGGAGTGGTCCGTCGGAGGTGCACATCACGGCGGCATCTTGAGCGCTCAAGAACCACACATCGCACCTTCATGTTGCAGCAATCGCAATCGGAAGTGCTTCGGAGAGCGACGTATTGGGCTTCAGTTGGTTGAAGGCTTGTGGGCCGAGCGTTGCTGGGACTTAGCCATGGGTGGCCAAGCCTGAATAGACTCGACAAGAGCTCGCAAGCAGCATACTTCTGTGTCGGTGGCCGGAAAGTGCACTATTCAATACATATTTCGTAAACCCCAACGGCGGAGTCGTACGAAACTGCGAACCTCCTACTCCTCTACATCCGAAACTCTACCCTGAATCCATTCGTCCCAAACCTCTGCAGGCGCTCCATTGCAGCACAGGGCAGCTCAAGCTGTATCTCCTTCACTTGGGAGACGGATTGTGGGGAGCGGCCTAACACCGTCGGAGTCGGACCCAAACATGCGCTGGGGGAATGTGTCCTGATCTGCCGAGGGCAATACGCAAACCACCAATATATCCTGCACCATCTTCTCAAGCTGCTCAACCTCGGCAATGCAGAGTGGAATGAGCGGATTTGCTCTTGGTTGATTGTGCATCCTGCCGGGCCCTTTAGCTGCAAACGTCACCCTGGTAGTGCGGGAGGCGCGGCATCCGGAAACTAGAGACTTTCTCCTCCGCGTGCTAAAAGCTACACAGGCATTCCATAACTTCCAGACTGCAGCCGAGCTACGAAACCATCAATGTCAGCAGCAACCTCGGCCGATGGACTCCCTCGTGCGACCCAAATACCAGTCAGGTAGACGGCTTCCTACAACATTGAGCCGCCTGTCCTCAGTTGCCTGAGAACAGCTTCATAGCTGCATATGTCTCTGTGATCGTGTTCAGACGTTGGCCTTTGACACCATACCTCATACCTCCACAGTCCACAGGCATCCTCGCCACCACGAGGTTGTTAGCAGGCGCCCGAAGATTGGTAGTTGGAAAGCTCTTCGGGACGCTTCACAACACACAAGAAACCTCGAGCACCAAGGGCCAGGCACAAGCGTGCTCCACGTTCGTTTCAGCTTCTGCATCGTCAACTGTGCCTCAGTTACCAGGATCCTGTGTTGTCTGCGCTGCAAGCAGGGCACGAGGCTAGGCATGTGTCTCCCAATCGAATGCGCTGGATAAAGAAAGCCACAGAATTTTGGCCCCCGATTCTCGGCCGGATTATGGGTTGAAGGCGTGTGTGTTCAGTGCGTGATTTTTGGCCACGTGACCTATTTATCCCGTCTGTCATCTCGTCACGGGGTCTTCGGCAATTTCGGCAACAGTGGCACGACAACAAAGCAGCATACGACAGCTTGCTGCCCGTGATGCCATAGGCTTCATCGATGCGCAGATTTAGGCTGTCCGCATCGGCCCTGTCCTGCATTTCAACAGCGATTCATGACAGTGACAACTCAGACATCGTCAAGGCTCAATGGACTGGCGTGCTGAGGGTTCCCACGTGTCAAGCCACCAGCAGACGGCTACGGACTTGCCGAGGACGTCTATTCAAGCACAGAGGATTCTGAATTGACTCCTCAAGCCCATTAAGATGACTGCCCATCCCAGCTCCTTGACAAGCAGAACAGCTCCTATACTCCCGGCGAGGGTCTTCTCTGCACGAAGCCCCTGTATCCTTAGCTGTCTTGGCTGCGGCATGGACCGGAAATAATGAAACAACAGATCCTATGACAGCACGGCAAGGAGCAACGGACTAGCAGCATTCCTATTCTTTCGAGTCGGGTGGATCTACTCTACCTGCGGTTGGATTTGTCGCTGTGCTCATGCAGCACTTTAGGTGGTGGCTGTTGAGATGCGAGGCTGACAAAACTGCGGTGAAAAAAACCACGGCACCATCACTGGGCGTAGTTGCAATAACAATAACCACCCCGTCAGACATGATTAATTGGCATAGCAGTCAGATTTGAGATGCGCAAGAGCTTATTATGAACAGGATGGTACAGCACCTTCCATAGTTTGTGTCGCCTGCGAGCAACGAAAGACTTCTGGAGATAAAGAACCTCTTAAGTCTTAAAACCATTAGTATAAAGCCTTCTCCCCTTCTTCTCCCAATGCCTCTATGTTGAGGAAGAGAGGCAGTCTCAGGGCTTCATCGAAAAGCTGCGTAGCACGAAGTGGGCCTCTGGACGTGTCCAGTGCAAGGCTTTGCGACACACCCTGCGCGCATCCACACACCACTGAGTCAAGCGGATCCCGCAGGACATGTTTTGGCATCTACTCCAATTATCATCGTGCTGACCGGGATGCCTCGCGAAATGTGAAGTGACGAAAAAGGCCTACTCCACCAAAACTCTCCCAAACTTGCATCCCTTGTCATCCCGCACCTGCCAGTGGGTCAGGCAAGAGGGCGCTGCTTGCAGAGCCAGGCTCCAACTCCCCCGCTGACATAGCCAGCACGCCCGGCTCGGAGGGCGGTTTGAACACAGGACTAGGGTAGAAATTGTTGGGTGAGCTCAGGGAACCGAAGATGCGCCAAACTTCCAAACTCTAGTGTGCTGGGTTGTGGCACATTTGCGGGACTCCCGTCCATGTAACCTAGCCTGGAAACGGGCTGCCATGCACTCTTCACTCTTCCTTGAGCAATGAATACTGCAACAGATTCAACCTGCAGCCCATGCGCCGCAAGTCTCTTCCTACAGTACAAGAATGCACTAAATACGTACTGCTACAATTACTATTGCTTCCATGAGCACTAGCAGTAGTGAAGTACTGAAGTCAGAAATACCAAAGTAATAGGAATTTCACAAGTACAGTGGTACGTAGGTTTGGCAGGAACACGAACCGTGTGGTTGATGCACGTTATGGCGATTGTCATCGTCATCGGAACAACACCGCTCATGACAATTCCGAGGTGTCCTTCAGCTCAGGGTTTCTGGTGAGGTTCGCCTTGGACCCCCGAATGCCTGAACTTTGAGCTACCTGTGGCTGCCCCCCCCCCCCCCCCCCCGAAACTAGAGTCTGAGATCTGACACAGTGAAGCGCCTGTCTGGGTTGGGTTGTGCGTAAACGGCTGTTTTCCGCTGACGGCTTACATGTCAGGCTCTCTCGCAAGAGCGTCTTGTGGTGCACAGGCTCAATCCAAGCTGCTTGGCAGGCTCGTAGAATAGAAAGCTGCGAGATGCGGAATGCTGGCTCTACCATTAGCGACGGTGCCGGCTTCCAGTCAGGGCAACCGAGTGCCCAGAGACCAAGAGAGCACTGAGATGCAAGAAGACGATCTAGATTCCGACCCGGCGCGCAAAGACTGTCACGTCTATCTCTGCCAAGCGATTCGACTCGCACCCTCTGCAGGAATGTACATTCTCAGAATGAAGCTCTTGAACCCGCAAGGCGAGAGGGGCTTCACAGCAACTTCCCTGGCAGCTGCTACTTTTCTGCACCCAACTATCCGCATGACCAATCCCTTCTGCATAATCCATTTCCAGACTCGGTAGTCCTCCTTGCAGCAATCCGCAAGCTCGCAGCTTCGCTCATTATCTCCAGCGCACAAGGCCCAGAAGCACAAACACTGGGGCAGGACATTCCAGCACAGACTAAACTGTTCACGCTTGCATGAACCAAGCAGTCCAAGTATAGATTCCTATGCTACAGCTTCATGTTCGAGTCAGCCATGCAAGGGTGCATGGTAGTTGCTGGATCTGTAATTCCTTAATTCTCGTCTTCGTGTCTGTGACAAAAGATCGTATGGTCGGAGTTTCCAGAGGAGCCTGATGGGATCCTACATCAACTTCACAGGAAGCTGGGATCGGATGCCATGTGTCACACAGAAAGCACACCTGAAAGGGACGAGCCATGCACACCTGTCAATGTTGGTGCTCTTGGGCCTTGCGCAGGTTCTCCAACAATCGACATGACTCCCAAAACCCCCTAACAACATTAATGGCCGCTGGGATTGTTGTTTTCCCTTCGTACGCGACACCAGAGTGGCGACCAGTGATACTGGGTTTACCCCTTGGGTAATTCGTCATGAAATGAACGGCACCTATCAGATTTGGAAAGCTCAAAATGTACGGTACTGCTTGGCTGGTCCACAGGGACAGCAGGCAGTCACTAAAGAGTCGTCCGCGCCTGCTCTCGCCAAGTTGTAGTCAGTAGAACATTCAGAACTCAGAACTCTTACATGCAGATTTGTGTTCCGTCAGACTCCGCGTCAATGTTTTGCTGCCACTTTCAACTCGTGCACTCTAGGTATTGCATGTAACCCTATGAAAACCTGATGCCACCGTTTGGTGATCTCGATGATGAGGATGATGATTGTGGTGCCTGCTGTATCTGACCATATGAGGATAGTCGCCACTCTGACCAACCGATACAGGCTGGCATCCCAAAAAGGAGTCTCGCCCTACGAAAGCTTGGTCTCGTGTTGCTGAAGCCTTTGACAGTGCCCTAACGGTCTTTCACAGACTGAACCCCCATAGACGTGGGCCATGTATCCCTGCCAACCAGCCGAGGAAGAGAGAGCAACGTTCTACGATGCCTCGTTGGCGGCACCTTCTCCAAGATCCCGTCTGGGAGTGGAGCGGGAAAATCACCGGCTGGAGCCGTCAATGTTCACAAGACTAAACTACTCAACCGTAGCGCAGCCTCGTGACCGATATGATGAATTTCGGAGCTGTGGCACATGCTAGTTACTACCGCGTAGTAGTCGCCATCATCCTCGCATTCCCGAGATAATGTCGGTATCATTGAACAACCACAAGACACACCAAGCATTGTAGCAAAACTACCGCTGACAAATATCCTTACATTCTTAGTTTGTTTGGCGTGGTCCAATAGTTTTGTGCAGTGGAAGATGCTTCCGAAACAAGGACATGATTTGACACCTCTGCATTCAAGAGCGCTATATCACGCAAGAACGGAAGCTGCAATCAGATCATCATAAGCAACACATGCTTGCAGGACAGCGCAGCTGCAGAAGCAGGACTTCCTGCAGTCATAGTACCGGTAGCTGTGGTCGTGGCCGTCGTGGCAACAATAGTAGTCGTCGTTGTCGCCGTCGTAGTGGTGGCAGTAGTAGCAGTATTAGTCGTTTTTGCCTCCGCCTGGCTAGGACGAACCTACGATGCAGGGTCTATAGCTACCTAAGTATAGTAGTAGTAGTAGTAGTAGTAGTAGTAGTAGTAGCAGTAGTAGTAGGAGTAGTAGGAGTAGTAGGAGTAGAAGTAGTAGTAGAATTAGTAGTAGTAGTAGTAGTAGTAGTAGTAGTAGTAGTGGTAGTAGTAGTGGTAGGAGTAGTAGTAGTAGGAGTAGTAGTAGTAGTAGTAGTAGTAGTAGTAGTAGTACCAGCAGCAGCGGGAGTAGTAGTAGCAGTGGTAGTAGTAGTTGATGTTGTTGTTTTGAAATTTTAGGAGCAGTAGTGAAAATAGTAGTAGTAGTAGTAGTAGCAGCAGCAGCAGCAGCAGAAGTAGCAGCAGTAGTAGTGGTAGCAGCAGCAGCAGCAGGAGCAGGAGCAGGAGCTGGAGCAGCAGCAGCGGCAGTAGTCCTCGTAGTAGCAGCAGTGGTCGTAGTCGTCGTCGTCGTCGTCGAGCCGTTGCTGCTGTTGTTGTTGCTGCTGCTATCGTTGTCGTTATTGCCATTAGCAAGTAGCAGTAGCAGAGCGCAGCAGTGAGCGTGACACCACCAGCAGCAGCAGCATCGACATCTTTGAGGGCCTGTGCATATGCTGCCGTTCAGAATCCCCCAAGCGTAGCAGGGTAGTCTTCTCATCTCTGCTATGCTAGCACGTTAAAGAAGCATCATGAGTCTGCGGAGGCCCTCGTAGGAGCAGGCACGGCCCGCGGATCACGACTTTTGCCTCGGCAGTTGCAAGCGTTGGCTGTCGGACTCAAGAGAAGTTTCCGCTCTTATGGGTTTTTTCTCTTGGGTTCCAACAAATTAACGAGGCTGCCTCAGGCTAAGAGGTCGTCATGCTACAGAGTCATCAAAATGCGAGGCTATCGTTGGATGTTGCTGGCTCCTTGACTTGAACAGGATTCCTGAACATCATATGTCCCATGTACGGTCCTCGGCCTTGCCTGCACATCACCAGCTTCTTCAAAACACACTACTTTCTCATCTCAGTCTACACCCAGGGACATCTCGGCTTTTGCTTCCGAAAGCTCTGCATTGGAGATTACGCCGTCGCCATCCTCACGTCGGGGAGGCCAAACGTCTTCTCGCAGTGTCTCACTTCTCTCTTCGACTTCGACTCAACATCTAGGGACTTTTGGGGATGGCTGGTAGCTTAACAAATACAACATGGGTAGCAAAAACACGTGCTGACATACGGTATATGTATGTACTCATATAAGTATACATATACATCTACGCATCCATCCATCCATCCATCCATCCACACACACATACGTACATACGTACATACATACATACATACATACATACATACATACATACGTACATACATGAAAACTGCTGTGTATACACGCAGTACGGATATATATATATATATACATACATACATACACACACACACATATATATATATATAAGTTGCATGTGTAGACACACACATGCACACATAAGTTTGTTTACACATGTGGATATATATATATATATGCAGGTGTGTTTGTATATATATATGTATATACATGTCTTTCTTTCGCCAGGGCTATGGTGGAGGGTTGTGGCCCTCCACAGCGCGCGAGTGCGCCGACGACAGTTGCGGGTGCCAAGCATTTCCGCCGCACATCAACCAAGGCATGGACCCCCGAAAAAAAGCAATGCCAAGCAAAGCAAACACAAATGTAAGTATGATCACTGCCTTCGTTGCAGGGTGCGACAGATGTTGGCTGCAACAAACCTTTCGGAAAGGTACCGGCCAGGGAATTACTAGTGCTTATGCGCTATGGTACAGGGCCCCTCGAGGATTTTGGAGGCTTCAGCGGCCCGTCTGAACTAAAGCCTGCCCTGTATAAATCTAAGTTGGAGAGAGAGACTGTGGTGAACGAAGTTAGGGAAACATGCAGGCCGGTACAGTAGGCATGGTGACTATCGCTGCCATTGGGTAGAGAACAGCAAGAGAAGAGAACAATAATCATAACACCTTTTCATCTGGCACTCTCTCGCTCTCTCTCTCGCTCTCTCTCTCTCTCTCTCTCTCTCTCTCGCTCTCGCTCTCGCTCTCGCTCTCGCTCTCGCTCTCTCTATGTCTCTGGGACAACTTGTATCGAATGCGACGGAATGGCGCCTCTTGCGGTAGGCATACCCTCGCCACTACAGTGAAACTTGCACGCTGCATCTAATTCCTGCCGAACCCTTGCAGCCATCCTTGTCGACCATCTGCATGATTTCCTTGTTTGCTTTCGCCGCTTCCTCACCACTTACACTCATGTCTGCCAAGTTCCTCAGCTTGCCAACCGCCACAAAGCTGACACTTTCGCATCAGTGGGGGGTGCCACTGTAAACAATGAAACACGGACATGCTGGTAAGCAGCGGGCATGAACAAACGGGCTTCGATTCATGTGAGCACTGGCAGAAAACAAAACTCGTGAGAGGCATGTTGTTACTTGAGGGAAGATGTGATAGCACTTAGTAAGCAACCGCGGCATCAGCATCCTGCCAAGTGTCGCAGCCAATTCCTCCTTGGTCACACATCCATCTCCATCCTGCCCGTGGCCACAAGGTTCGCGTGCGTGAGGTAAGGGAATACGGCACGAATTTTATGGAAGTGTAGGGGTGAGCGGCCGGGTGAAAAGACTAGTGACTGGTGCCTGTGGGCTAACTGAAGCGTCGTAGACTTCCCAATTGCCCAGTTTGTCGTTGAAACTTCGTTGAAACATCTTGAATGACGTGCGCTCTGTCCTTGTCCAAGTCCTTGAAGCTCTTCTGTTCCAGAAGTCTTTTGGCAATGTCGGAGTAGGTCAAGGCCAGCAGGCTGCGAGTCAATGATCTCGGCTCCTTGTGATCGGCAGTTGTGTTACACAAAACAGAAGGGTATGATTGCAACGCGACTCTGATTGACTTCTGCGCGGCCGCTGATGCTAGGGGCCTGCTACCGCTGTTGGTCCTCTCCATGTCACTGCTTCCACTCCTGGACCAAGGGCCTTAATATGTAGAATAGGGCTTTGGGGCCCATTTTACTATAATTATAATAAGGAACCCCCAAAATGGCATTGGTAATTTTTTCGGCCCCTGCATTACAACCCTCAGGGTCTTCCAACTCCATGCCCGTGAGCCCTGAATCTGCTGATCCCAGCTGCGGGAGTCGTCGTCGGAGATGTCGGAGCTTCAGCTGCTTCCGCCTTTGCCTGCTGCAGCTCCTCCTGAACCAGGGCGTTAAGCTGGCCCTCTCTAGGAATAGCCAGGGATATATGATCGGATACATGGTGCCGAACATGTGGGTTTCCATTCGGTGTCATGGCTTCTTGTTTTTGGCTTGCAGATAGTAGGGCCTACAGGTGAGGCCCGGAAGCTTCGGGGTGAAGGTCCGCTGCCGCTCTCAGCCTTTCGTTGTACTAGGACTAGCATATCACTTGTGAGTTGTGGCTCGTTTTGCATATGATGGCATACAAGCACCCAAGTGACAGGAAGAGGGCATACCCAACAAGCTTTCTAGCAAACCGATGCTCGCTGTCGGTCCTGGGGATGCGCTTTTGCATGGGTGTGCTACTACTGACATCTACTTAGAAGGAATTACCGGGACCCGTAGCCCAAGCTTTCCAGATCCAGACTTCTGAGCTCCTGGGAGATTTTGCCATCGCCGTCTTTGTCGACTTGCTGCATTAGCTCTGCTCTCGCCTGGAGGGCTGCATTGGGCATTGGGGTGTGGGCCTCAGTTCGGGGCTTCTGTGCGGCTCATCAGCCATGAATATTGCCAATCTCTCTTTCAGAGAGGCTGCTTAGACAGTCTGAAGCACAGAAGCACCTGACTTCAAATGTGCGCGTGCAAGGTTTCGGGTTGTTCCGGGTAGTGCATGACGCCGCGTTCTCTGGGCGTCTCTCTGAAGTCGCGGCATAAACGAGTTCTTCTTGTTGCAAATCAGACTTAAGCTTGCGTTCCTGAGCACTGAGCACTTATGCTGCAACCCGTCCAGTTGCGCATTGAACTTCTCGTGGGCATGTCTCAGCTGGATCCCTAAAATCTGTCAAACCACCGGCCTGCACGGCCTCCTCTCCGCTCACTGCCATGCTCGCGAGAGCCGCGCCGACCTCCTCCTCACAAATCCGGCCATCGCCGTCCTGACCCAGGTGATGGGGGGGGGGGGGCCTGTGANNGGGGGGGGGGGGGGGGGGGCCTGTGAGGGCCAAAACTATAAAATCGCACTATCCTGTCAGGCACGACCTACTGGCCTGCTGCATAGCTTAATGTTGTGGTCGGGCTGTCAGGGAACCGACCGTGACATAGGTATACTAAATAGACCTTACCAGCTCAGCTTTTTTATCATGATTCTGCACTCCGTTGTTCATCATCTCGTCCTTGTCCATCTCCTGGAACGTCTTAGTTCGCAACAGTTTCTTGGAGGCGTCAGAGTAGCTGCCGCTGAGGATGCTGCGGACCAGCAGCTTTTTCTCGGAGTACTCGGACGTCTGTTTCTTTGAAACCTCGGCCTTGGCGCGCTCAAACTCCTCCTGGGAGAGTACGCCATCGCCGTCCGTGTCCGCTTGCTGCAATATCTGCTGCCTTGCTTGTTCCATCTCCTGGCCTTCAACTTTCATGTCGACCAAAGAGGAGTCGAGCTCCTTCTGCGAAACTAGGCCATCGCCATCGGTGTCCAATTCCTTGAAATCCTTCTTCTCAAGGAGACGTTGAGCTGCTCCGTGCATAGCGGCAAAAAGAGTCGATCGCACAACGGACCTGTGCTCAGCCGGTGCTTCCTTCCGGACCTGGGCCACGCAAAACGTGAGCTTTCGGGATCCTGCAACGACGGTCCCACTTGGCCCTGGGCGGAGGCAGCAGCTGGCGGCTGCACTGGCACCTGGACCTGAACGAATGTGGGGGGGGGCTAAAGGGAGATCCCAGGAGGACCACCGGCTTCGAGCCATCATAAGGCAGGTTACATCCCGAACAGGCGTAAACATTCGCTGAGCAAAGGCTGTTCCAGCGCACATCTGAAGCATGAAGTCGTGGAGCCCGACCCCTCAGAAACAGCAACAATTAGACCAGAGAAGCCTCCCTATGCCTCCGGCAATCTGCCAAGGCACCCTAAATTCAGAAGTTTTCGAGATACTCTTTTGCCTTCCAACTGCCAAGGCACCGGATGCAAGGGGCCACCGAGCAAGCCTTTCTTCTGGGCAGCCTCGAACTCCTTGGCCAAAGCATTCGGAGACTCTTGGTCGGAAAATGTCGGAAGGCTCGAAGGTGTCTCTCTCCGTCATCCCAATACTGCTACGAGAAGTTGTTTCGTGTTCGTTCCATGCTCGTAATTCAGACAGTGCGCTGCTAAACTGCAAACATTCCAAACAATGGCATTATAGCATTTAAAAGTAAAAAATGCAAATGGTCCCCATCTCCGCCACCGACATTACCAACAGGGTAATCAGGTCACCATGACCACACCGGAGAAGTCAATGTGCCGACACAAGCAAAAGAAGCAGCAAAGTTATGAGAAGACTCATAGTCATAACGACACTGTTCATACATCTGCACTCGCAAGTGGCATCTCGATTCTCATCTTAATATCCCCTTCGGTGGTGACGATTCAGGATGAGTCTCACTGAGTGGTATGCGGACAATTTGATGCATTAGCAGCGTTTCAGATCAAGAGCCGTAGAAGCCCCTTTCTGCGCCTCACGGGAGATGAAACCATCCTTGTCGGTGTCGAGGTCCTCGAACGTGACCGAAGGAGGATTTCGTACCCTAGGCGGCAGGGCAAGTCAAGAGAAAAAGACCAACAAAGCAAACTGGGTAGGTTGCAACATGGCCTTTTGTCGCTTTCAGTGCCACCTGCTCCGAATTTATGTGCTTTGAACCCTCTCTCGCTCTCTCTTATCCTGGCCACGCTACATAAATGGCCCTTAACATGCAAATCTCACCACAGCCTCTGCGATCACTGACGTGGCACTGCTCAAAGCAATGCTTGAAATAGTGTCAAGATGTGAAGACTACAGGACAAAGACCAGTCACAGTTGTAAGCACAGCTTAGTGGACTTGGCTCACTGGAGCCTGAGAAGTCTCCAAGATGGTACAAGACCTAAACTGAGCTGGCCAGGCTGAGCCGCCCGTCTGCTTTTCCCGTGCGAGCAGTCGCTTTGGAAACCACGCCTGGGCAGTTCCGCAAGAGCATGTCGCGTGGGCCAGAGAACAACAAACCTCTTGGCAATGGTTCTCTGGGAATTCCTAGGTATTCCAAACTTCGCCACGATGTGCGCGGGGAACTCACTGCCCAGATTCAGGGTTCGGGACCCTTCTGTCATGAAGTCGTGAAACTACTGGTAGGTCTGTTACCCCAACACCTGTGCAACGACAGCCGAACCACAGAAGCCATTTGTTGAGAAGATGAACTTGATACCCGTCGTACCCATATGGCTAATAGGACTGGCCCTCGCAAGGGAAGAATGACAAGGAACGACCACCTGCGGTAGCAGTAACAAATCACGTCGTGAACAGGACTTTCTTGTGCAAGAACCACGAATCTGCGACTTCAAGAACCATGTGAGTCGTGCGATGCCCCTAAGGTCCAGGCTGGAGACGATCTTCGAAATCTTTGGCTCCAAACCTGGGCTCTTGAGACGGCAAGCCTGGAGTCTCTGAGAGCTCCTTGAATCTCTGTAAGGTGGCTCTTGAGACGACATCCGACTGCGCTGCGTTGGTTTGATTAGCTTCAACCGTGGTTGGGCTCCTACGCCCTCCACTTCGTGAAAGGGGTCCTGCAACTATGTAGTTATGTAAGTCCTGCCTGCCCGGAGCCTACGGACGGGGGATTATATAACAATGTGCGATGAAGTGCCGTAAGTTCACACGGGCAAGACGATATGCTAAGGAAGAATAGGAACGACAACACAAATTAGATAGTGGCAATGAGCAGGTTCATAGCCCATGGCAATCACCACAAAAGCGTGACGATGTATGACAGCTACGCCGGGCCGAGCAATAAAGCCTCTCATGGAACGGGTACCAGTCCTTGTTGTTACTCGTGTTGGGGAAACTACTGCCAACACCTGTGACTACCACGCGTCCTAGAACCTCCAGCTCTTCAACATCAAGCCTCCCAACCCCGTGAAGAGTTTGTTTCAGCATTGATCTCCTTGGGATGGTGGACCGTCGTCTTCTGGCTTCTGTAACTGCGGTGAGTCTGTCTGTGTGTGTCTCGCCGCTGTTTGCAGCCACATTCTCGCTCTTGTACTGTTTGTCGCTGCGTTGTGACGGAGGGCGAATGATGTGATGATCGCACCGTGTCGATTTCCTTAATCATCGCGACTATACCCGCTTCTTTTGCGACAGGCCTTGTTGTCCAGCAGCCCGGTCTAGCCAAACAAACAAACAAACAAACACACACACACACTCTCACCTAACCTACAGCAAGGCGAGCATGCGAACTGACAACTCTGAGAAAACTGCTTGAAATGTAAGCACCTTACTAAACTCACTGATGACTTCGTTGTGACATGACATGAACTTCATGACACAGGTTTCGAAGGAATCTAGCACGCCACTCAAATAAGTTACCAGAGAGTCAAGACAGCCAGCAATCTCAGCACGGATCATACCGTAGTCCGCAGGCACGCGCTGAATCGCCACACAAGAGTTCCAACCCGAAGCTGTGTCCGGTGACTGCTCCAGACTCGCTTCTCCAGCAGCTCGGCCATCTGCGCGAACCGCGGGGGAGCCTGAGCCTGTGGCCATTTTGCTCCTATTTGGACACTTGTTGTCGCTTGGGGGCACTTGCCTTAGCACATGTGGAGCCTAGAGTCTACGGATGTGTGAAATTCTCGGAACTTGTCGCGAAGGCATTAGTCCTCATCATGTTAATATCCGGGCGGCTGCCTCCGGCGGCTTCTGCTGTCGCTCCGCCTCTGCCACGCGCAGGGCGAGCTGCCGGATGGAGGCGCGCATCTGCTTGGCATCCTGTGCTTGGAGCGTCAAGCAAAGCTACATTCATGGAATGGCTACAATGCCAAGAAAGTTGAGGGTGTGTGGGGGGTCAAGTAGCAAGGTTCTACGCGTGAAGCTAAGAATCTCACTAGTGCCCCAGGGCTCATCAGTCCCGTTCCAAACTTCCCCAAGAGCCTCGTGAACACGAGCCGCATCCCTACAGACCCACACCAGGACCAGCGTCTACGAGAAGTAGCTTGTTGATCTCGAACTCAAGCATCCTCCGAGCAGCAGCGATCTCCTGACAGGACGGAACCGAGACGCCACCACAGAGGAAAGGAGCCATTAAGCAAGCACTCGTAATGAACGGTATGTTTACAACTCAGAGCGATTCATCCACGCGGGTGTCAACGATGGCTTCGTTCCACGGTATGTGAGTCTAGGGGATTTTTCCGCCGACCCCTGGTGAGCCAAAGTACAACGAAACTGTCTGTCCTGGCACGAAGTACGAAATCTATTCCGAACGAAACCGACTTCTTTCCAGAACCCCTACAAGTTCTACAAGTAGCACAAGCCCGAACTTCCGCGAAACGGTCAACTGATCCGATGGCAGTGCCTCGGGTGCTACTTCCAGATGCTCCGCCACGGCAAGAGCCCGGCGCAATCGTGGCTCATCATGGTCCTGCCGGCAGAGCTTGAGATCCTAATGGCTGAAGACCTGCCACACCTCCGTAACCCACATCGACATCACCGTCATCGTTAGCTAGTGGTGTCACGCGAAAACTAGTTCTACTGATGGTCGTCTGGAGATTGCTATCGTCAGTGATGACATTCTTGGCGCGACTGCTTCCATTTAGCTTCATGTCTACGTTGAGTTTCTGTTGTCACTCCAATGCTACTCCATGCCACTACCATGGACAGATTGTTCGCTGCACACGGTAGAGATGCTAAAGTAACAGTCTTCACACTTAATTACCGTCCTCGCTCACAATCAAGCAGCTGTCTGTAGTGAGTAATCTGAGCATGAGGCCTTGTTTTGAGCATAGTTGGTTCGGGACGATCCTCGTCCCGCAGGGCTCCCGCAGCAGCTTTCAGATTTGAACAACCCATGTTGAACTGTGTTCGTATAAAGTCTACAGCCCGACGCCCACAAGTCAGTCGGGCCTCCATGGCCTCTGCCAGATCTAACCTTGACTTCGGGTTTTGTACACCAGACATGTTGCTGTGCTTGCTGATTGTGCTGCAGGCACTACAAAATAGTTTAGGTTAGTTATTCAGCTTATTCCTCTATCTCTCACAGAATCTTGTCTGAGAGTCCCAAGATGGAAACCAAGAAAAGCCCCATGTTCATTCACTGAAAGTAGTTCTCTACGGAGGATCTCTGACACTTCCTGTTTGCAGCAAGCGGCTGTGCGTTCGCCCTGGCCGTTGACAAGCTCTCCACACCCTTGGCCTTGACATTTGGCGTCGTCTCAGGCACCTGTCCCGGACGAACACCGCTTGGGTGCCAGTTTTCCGTGATGCATTGGGTGATAAGCAGCCCTGGATGGCTAGCAGGATGCTTAAGAACAGGACGAGCCATCGAAAGTACCGGCAGTGAGCTCGTTCTTGCTTGCGGTAGCAAGTATCACCAGAACACCATTTTCATGATCACAAGTTGGTTCGGCTTGTGGAGCAGCTGATCTTTTGTCAATTAGGCCGCTGCACTGATCTTTTTGTCAATTAAGGCCCCTGCATAGCACGTGACCATCTGTTGATTTCTTCATCAACAAGGCCGAAGCAAACTAGTTGGCCTGCGACAGTCAAAGCACAGGTGTGCCCACCTCCAGCTGCGACGGAGACCACGGGCCCCAAGTCTTTAGGAACGTCACACTGTCCATACTCATTCCAGCCGAAGCACACTAGCTCCGCATGAACGGTGACCGTGCATGTATGCAGCGCACCCGCTGAAACGAATGCAACTTGTCCCAAATCTGCTGGAACATTACACTGGCCATGTCCATTCCATCCGAAGCATCTTAATTTTTGATCTGCAGCCAGCACGCAAGTGTGAAGACCTGCACAAAACACGGACACAACGTGGCCCAGATCTGAAGGAATGTTGCACTCTCCAACCTCAGCACTCCCTCCGAAACATACCAGTCCCCCTTCGGATGTCACTGCGCACGTGTGCTGAGCTCCAGCTGAGACAGATACGACTGCCCCTAGATCCTTCGGTACATCGCACTGCCCCGAGCCGTTCCATCCGAAACATACGAGCTGGCCACCAGGGCGGACGGCGCAGCTATGAAGGTCACCGACTGCTACCGACACGACTCTGTCCAAATCTGAGGGGACGTTGCACTGCCCATGATCATTTGCTCCGGAGCACACCAGCTTTCCCAGCATTGTGAGGTTACAAGTGTGGCCTGTACCCGTAGCCACAGTTAGCAAGGGGTCTTCATCTGATGCCTGAGCCTCAATGACACCATCTTCCTCCCAACAGGTCAAAGATCCCGTGGCTTGGTTGAGGACACAAGTTCGAGCGCCAGCTGCAGATATCGAAAGAGTGGGGAGCACATCACTGGGGAGCTCGATTTGCCAAAGCAAGGCGATGCTCTGCCAGAGATTTATGCTCGCCCGGGTCAAAGTCCCGGAAGACTTGCAAGACCTGAGGGCTCCCCTCTGAGGCCACGAAAGGCCGAGCAGCCTGGAAACCATCCGGTAGTATAGAAGAAAGGAACATCACAGTCTGCTGCGGCTTGCACCTCCCTATGTAGGTATTTATGCTTAAGTGTACAATGTAACACACGTGCCAAAAACTCACAGCATGCCTGTGGAAGCACATTCCGAATGCGTAAGGATGCAGAAGCATTGTCGGCCCCTCGTCCGATCTTGAGTGCTGTAGTTGGGCGGCTTTCCTGTCCGAGGTAGGTAGTCATGATAATAACTATGCGCCTACATGAAACTCGTCATCGTCACCATGCTCGAATACACAACATCTTGAGCATCTTCCGCCTCCTTATGCACACCGCGAAACATCTTCCCCACACGTAGCGCATGCTTTGGCTTCTCCCGCAGCCGGGTGCGAACCTTTCTGGGTAATCTTCGGTCTTAGATGTTGCGGCTGAGCCAATGGATCAAGGGGTGCGAGCAACACTTGCAAAGTCGCATGACAAGCAACACGGGCAGCCGGACATATCCCCCAAAACTAATTGTGCGCATGCTCTCCAGGGTCTCACTGAAGGTTTCCTCACTTCTTAGGTCCGCGAGCCTCATAACGCAAATTGCTCCACTGCGAAGCCACGAGTACAGAGTGTTCAAGCCTGCGAACAACGTCTAGGCGAAGGCAAACCCTGCGTCCGAAACAACCAGCCAAATCCTAGGGTCCGGAGCGGCAAACTTCGGCTCAAAACCAACCTTACCAGCCTCCGGGATCGTCAAAGTGGTTGGTGAATCTTGGCTGCACTGTTTTTTTGTGCGGTAGCTTGATTTCATGGCAGTCTGGAGTGTGGCGTTCCAGGAAATGCAACCATATAACTGAAGTCGAACCGTTCATGGACATACTGCGACACAACTGCAAGTGACTACTCTATTCCTGTGTAATGTTTGCAGCGTTTTCACTGACAACATACAGCCAGCACAGACTTG